AAGGGGGATGTCAGGAAAATATAAACAGATATCACATTACTAGCCATGCAAGTCTTGGTCCAAAAGGGAAGAACTCATGAGGGCACACACATGGTTCTACTTGCTATTGAGAGTGCACATTAAAAGGCTCCATGTTTGTACTAGAACCCAATTAAAAGGCTAGGAGAATGGGTTGAAACTATAACTGTCAGATTTGAGACCAGTCATGATTTCAGCATGTCGGAAATAGAAATCATTGTAGCTTACACAGCCAATGCTTATTTTGATGGTCAAAAAACAAACCAGGAAGTTTTTTATAAAATTTAATTAATCAACCCAAAGTACACGGCATATGGCTGGGGATTCATTGCATTGAGATGTATACAGATTGTGGTAGTTGTGATGAAGATTTGTATACTTGTTAAAAAGTGCAGTTCTGAAATCAGGGGCAGATTGAGGCTGTCTTCTGGAAAACGGTCAGATTTTCAAATTTACATTGACAGGTGTCTAATTTTTCCTGTTGGAAGACGGTCAAAAATGGAGGATAGATCACCAAAGATAATTTGGAAGACTGTCAGAATATGTCTCTGGATCTGCCCCTGGAGATCATATGTTTACTTTTTGCAGGGATAATGTTTGTGCAATACAAGAAGTGAAAGGCACAAGAAAGCAGTACTTCACAGAATGTATGATTTACAAGCCAAAACTGGTCTGCGAGAAACCAACGTAAGTAGTTCTTTCAAATTGATGATGAGGTAAAAAGAAATAGCAAATTTTCCAGTACAGTAGCCTTATGTTCACAGCATGGACACTTTGGAACTAGAAAGTTTGTTTGAGTAGTGCAAAATTGCTAGTAGGCAGTGAATACTAAAGAAAAATAAGTTCTACAAGATTTGATTGAGACAAATATGCTGACAGGTTATGTGGAGTACGTATACTAGCTGTACTTCTATCACAGTCAGGGGGAAGGAGCTTCTCAAGTATAAATGGTACCCTCTACAAGGGCGACAGATTGATTTTTCACAGATATTCACAGATATGTCTCTAGATAAATAGACAGTTTGGTCTGATTTTTTTCGTTTTTCTCTATTTAATCTGCCACCTATTTAAACTTTCAGGGGCATGTAGTAGGATGGTTTTTTTTATGCTTTAAAATGCCCAACATTGCACAACTTTTTAAAATTCACATATCAATTCCCTGTATTTTAACAGCTCCTTAAACAAATTTTGTTACTAATTATTATTTTTTTAATTATACAATATGGTCAAAATTTTGTTATTTCTATTTTATATTTGACCAAATGTATCTTTTTACATTTTAATGCTTTTTTATCAGAAGTTATGTAGCTATAAGTAGCTGGTGCCCGTTTTTTTCATGTTTTTTTTAGGTTTGTCCGCTACCGCTGTTGCTCAGGTTACGAAGAGGTGGCAGGGGAAAGGGGATGCACAGGAGGTAATGGTTGCCTCAGAATTTGGCTTCATACATATGAGTGTTTAGCTGAAATTTGGTAGAATTTCAAAAGGTGTTGATGATTGCTTTAAAGGATATTTTATGATATGTAAACATTGTATTCAGAATTTAGCTGTTTTGGAGTTCTACGTACCATGATATTTTATTACATTTGCCAGTCTTTATCAAATCAGTAATGTTGTTTTGTAGTGAAAACGGTAGAAAACCTCAAGGTCACCATGATGCGCTCTCGTCTGACCACCTTGTTGGATTACGCCAAGAGGGCCAGCCTGGACCGTACCTTTGAGACAGATGGACCTTTCACAATTTTTGCCCCTGTTAATCAGGCATTCAGAAACTTACCCAGTGACTTGAAGTAAGTGAAATATTATAATGATTTGAACCCTCTTGAACAAGTGTTGTAACAACTTTATATATATAATGCAGTTAAATTCTTGCATACATTTTGTTTGTTTTAAATGAGACCTAAAGACAAGGCAATACTTATACACATACTTAGTATGTGTATACTAATTGAATCCCTTGTAAATAATGCAGAGATTTTCTTTTTTTGTGATTCTTTTACAAAATTTTCTTCATTTTTCTAGGAACCAGCTGTCCAGTGGTGGTCAATCTTCCCTTATCCTATACCATGCTCTGGACGGCAGAGTAAAGTACAATGAATTCAGGAATGACCAGAATTTCCCCACTGTTCTGGACAAACAGAAGTCTATAAGGGTGAACAGATACTCCAATGGGGTATGTCTTCTATGGTTTACTAGCTTTTGGAAAGGTTTTATATATTTTTTATTTATTCTGACGTGTGCTTGTTTTTAAGTTTTAAGTTGGGGTTGGGGGGTGCCTCATATGATCAAATTTTTGCATAAATCGTTATGTATTATGAATTGAAAAATTGTTTTCATTAGAAAAGGAATGAAAGATATTGTAGACCTTCATGTACCCCATATTATTATTTTAGGTGGTTACTGTAAACTGTGCCAGAATTATTATGCCTAATCAAGAAGCCACCAATGGAGTAGTACACACCATTGAAAAGGTAAATATGCTAAACATCATCATATTCTCTCTTATCCGACAAAGTGTCATATTAACTTCAAAACAATTCCCTAAACAGGCACCCTAAACAGTGTAGGCCGCAAAGTGCACCATTTGGCCAATGACAAAAGCATGTGTTACTATAATTTTAGTATTATATACTGCAAAAGACATATATATCCAAATTTGAGATTGGTGCCAGGACAAAGGTGGGGGTGGGTGTGGGGTTCAGGAGAAGTTGACATTCTGATTCTGCTAATGATAATATATATGTTTTATTTGTAATTATTATGAAATAGTTGTCGGTGGATAAGTACATTATTATATAACGATTGGAAGGACACCCAGTGTTATGTTTTGCATTTATAAATTTCAAACAAACACTGATCATGTTTACAAATAAAGAAATTTTCCTGGGATGTTTTATTCTGTATGAATTAAGATGATTTTTTACAATTTTACATAAGTATAATTTTATTTTTCCTAAATAGGTGATTTACCCAATCCCTGACAAAACCATAATGGATATCCTTCTAGAAGATGGCCGCTTCGGAGAACTCGTTACAGCGCTAATACTGACACGAAGAGCAGATCTACTCCGAGAGACGGGACCCTTTACATTATTTGCTCCCACTGATGCTGCTTTCAGGAATCTCCCCGCAGACATCGTGAGCAGAGTATTTGATCCTGATAACACTGAGGCCCTCAAAAGTAAGCAAAGACAACATAAATCGATATAAGCCAAAGTGACATCAGATTGTTATATGTAGCAGAAGATTCCCTCTGGCTTTACCAAAAATCTGTTTTTGGTACTTTAAAAATAGAGGAACACTGGTATGTGTCACCTTGAATGTCACAGAATATGTGTGTTCTTGTATGTTCCTGAATGCTGCATTATATTCCTTTGGTTTACAGATCTACTAAATTACCATGTCATCAAGCACAATCTATGCACCGCTGCCATCTTCACCAGTTGTAACTTACGTACACTAGAGGGCAGCACAGTACGTCTAGGGTGTACGAGCAGAGACCAGATGAAGGTGGACAATGCCCTGGTCACTAGTGGGGATATTCTTGCCAGTAATGGTATCATCCATGCTGTTGACTCAGTCCTGCTACCCAACAGTGGTGAGTTAACTGCTTACTACAGTGGTACATATGTTGAGTCTTTTTTTTTTTTTTTTTCAGAATGCAACAAACAGGATTGCTTACCAATTTTTCAATTTCCTTTTTCTGCATTTCTTTTCCCTTTTTGTCCAGTTAATTATCACATTAATGGGTTCTGGTCTGTGAATTTAGTTTAGATATAAGAAGAATATGACAACAGACATTCTACAATATCAATATCATAACAACTCAGATTAAACTTATCAAACAATCTTTTCTCATTATTTGCAGCCAAGGATGTGACAATGCTTGCACAAGAGATCAACCTGCGAGCATTCATGGAGGCAGCAGAGTCCACGAAGTACGCAGCTGCTCTCAGGGGATCCAAGAGCTCTTTCACAATTTTTGCTCCAAGTGATGAGGCTTTTGCAGGTTTGTTATTCCACAATTCTAGGTTCAAAGACATCTGAACCATTATGAATGATAAGGCAGAAAAAGTGTTTACATCAAATTTGAAATTTATGCTCAAATGCAATACTTACAGATTCACACTTAAGAATATTAAAATATCATAAAAATTATTTGAAACATCAGGAAATATCAGAGTGATAATAGTTAGGAGTAATTTTTCTTTAATTCTTTCAGCCGTATCTGGTACAGAACTTAATAGATGGCATTTTAACCCGGACTTGTACTTAAGCATCTTGAAATACCACATCATGGAGGGTAAAATGAGCACAAAGGATTTCGTCAGTCAGCGAGCATATTCTTCACAATCTGCAAGTCAGGGCGGAGTGGCTGCTTCAGCAACTCTTAGATTGAACTTGAATAGAAATGTGAGTCAATATATAACAGAGAATTCTGTTTTTTTTTTTTTTCACATACCAGATATTTTGCTGTAATATAACTTTGCTGTCTTACTGTTTGGGGTTTATCATAATGGTACAGAATCATCCAAACCTGATCTGTTACTTTTACGCCTGAAATAGATGAACAAGCCAGTTTTGAAATAAGCCTGGTCATAAACCTAGCACACTATTGATATGGGTTGCCTTCTTATCTATTTTATGTGGTTTATAAGTTTGTGAAAAAATGGTAACTGAAAAGTGATACTCTGTTCTACAGGAAACTGTTTATTTCAGAGTAAAAGACTGCTGTTTTTAATACAAAAAACTTTTAATTGTAATTATCAGTTTCTTAGTCCATCTGGGCATAAACGGTGAACAATACAAATTCATACTCCTGACATTGACTGCTGCCTATGTGTACACAAATGACATAGCTTAAAGAAATAAGTTTTTATTTCCTTGGTCCAGGGCTGGTCAATGAACTCGGCCAAAGTGACCAGCACAGACAACGAGTGTGGCAATGGCGTCATTCATGTAATTGATAAAGTGATGATTCCTCCCACAATGACCGTACTAGAGATTATCAAGGGAAACATAAGACTCAGGTGCGGTATGATGTGGGTTTTCCCAATGTTTTCAGGGTGACATTATGGCATTCAGATATAAAGGGAAAACAAAAGATCAAAGTTTTGTCTTGTAGGATATTTCAACAATGAAAATTTGTTCATTTCCAATATTAGCATAGAAAAGTGTGTAGGGGGAGGGGGGGGGTAGTGTGTAGCATTTACATGTTTTCAATACTTTTCAGTAAATGAGAAAAAGAATAATTATGCTTTCTAACATACTGCTTTGTGCTACATCCTTGTAAATGCTAAAATATTTTACCAGTACATCATTTCCATCCATTCCAGTACATTTTGGAGCATGATCCAGACTGTTGGAATAGACATCTTTGCCAATATAACAGTTGGAGGGGGTTCCTTCACCATTTTTGCTCCCACCAATGAGGCCTTCAGTCGCTTGGATACTGCCTTCATGGAGAGACTCCTGCTGAATACTAAGGAACTGGAAAAGGTCGGACTGGAGGCTTCTTTGCATGAGTATTTAAGCTAACTCAGTTCTAGTATTTGTTAAAACATCATTAATTCACATATTACTATTTTTATTCATTCAGTCATTTGTGCTCATCTGTTTTTTCCTTTATAAATTCATTTATTGATTTTATTTATTCAACATATCCACTTCTTCTTTATTCCACAATTCAAGATACATCTATGAAAAAAGTGAAAGAACATAACATTGTTTATATGTATGTTTTTCTATACAGATCATCAAGTACCATATCTTGAACCGCGGGGTCTACAGCTGTGGTATACAGGGAGGACTGACATACCAGTTCCGCACAGCGATGGGAGAGTGGCTCAAATTGTGGCGTTTGCAGCCTGAGGAAAAAACAGTCGAGGGAAACAAAATGGTGAAGGAAGAAGAAAAAATCATCGTTGTCAACAGTAACACCACAAGAGTAATTGACTATGATGTTCAAGGAACAGATGGTGTAGTATACACCATAGATCAGGTGCTGAGATGTCAGTGCCCAGAGATAGATTATTACTGATATATTGTCTCAGACATTCATGAAAAAGGATCACTTTGACCCCTCAACAAGACTGGTACCTCAAAGTTAAAGTGTGCTTTTTTGATATCTGTATCAGGCCTTTGACATTTTTAATGTTTGATTTTACATTGACACCTTGCTGCTTGAAAATTGAGATAATTTCCCTCTTGTTTTTGACATAAGTCAGTACACAGATTTTAGAAGTGTGATATCTACATCAGCAGACCCAGGGGAGGGCACAGCTAGTGGGTATTTGCAGGGCCCTTAGCCTCTGAAATACCCCCACCACCACCTGGCCCCCAAAAAATTGAAATGATACAACACCAATTTCTCATCACTGTGCCCTTCATATTATCATTGTTAAAATGTCCTTGTCTATTTTTTTTTATCCCTCGACTGCCCCCTTCCCCCTCCTCAATGATATACTGGGTCTCCTTGTGTTCATTTTAAGTATGTTTTCTAATGGTCCCTTGCAAAAACTTTCCCATTTTTACGAGCTGAACAACGATAATGATATTTCTACATACGGATTAACGTTTTATTGCATATATCTATTGTTTGGTGATGCTTGAACTTTCTGGACTAAAATGTATGTGAAAATCAAAACTTAAGCAGTTGTTAAGGTTTTTATTTCATTCTGTCTAAAAAAAATGTAAATTATAATGCAATGACCATAATGTGACCAGGTTGCAGAAATATTTTTTCCTAAAAGACTGATAGTCATGCATAATACCGAAATAAGATGACATTTTATAGAAAATGTCGAATAGTGGTAAAAAGAACCTGCTTGTATATTCAGATTGAACTAATAAAAAAGAGAATGACTGATATTTGTAATAAATATAAATACATTCAATTATGATAATCGGTTTCTTAGTCCACCTGGACACTAATGAACAGGTAGAACCTTGTTGACATTGCATTCATTTGAGATTTAAACCTAAGAAATAATGTTAACTGTCTTGCTGATTAACTGAATAACTGCGAATTTGAAATAAAGCTAGATCTATAGTATTTGATTGTGAATAAAAACTACATTTGCAATTTAAGTGCAGTAACTTGGTGTAACTATAGAATATTAAATAATTCTTTTCTCACTGGTGCATAAACGTAAATAATACCACCCACGGCGGTTTTATCAGTATTGTTCAAAATGCTCTGGGAATAGCTGCAGGTGAAATATGTTCAACTTATAAGTTGAAGATGCGAACTTCGCGACCTTCATGATTGTGTTCAGTTGTTCAATCTCCGGCGCCTCTCTACACAACTACAAGAATCTCAACAATCACATTCTTAAATAAAAGTATCTATAACTGTCACAGGCCCTTTTAAGATATATAGGACGAATTCATGCACGTAGATATGTGTACTTTTTTACTATTTGTTCTTTGCTTGAATACCGGGTTTTGGCAGCGTTACATCTGTCTGCTATCCACTCATAACCTAACATGCCCTACTAACGTAAAAAGGCGTAACTTTTCAAGTAGGCCTATTTACACGGGCGTAATCGTTTTATAATTTGTGTTAAACATGCAATTTATCGTGACTGAAATCCAAAGTAAAGCATACAGCTATTCTAAGTGCTGAAAATTGTTGAAGACCCTGAGTTTGAAAATCTGAAGAAAACTCTGTGGATTTAGAAAAAAAAAAAACTAATCAGGGCCTATAAAACTGAGCAATGACTTTGTTCCTGCGTGACGGTGATGGACTTACAATCCATTTCTCTTGGATTAAAATGGCTTTGTCTGAAAATGAAATAGAATAAAATTTAACATCCTACTCACTGTTAGAGATTCATTAGCAGGTACATACTTAGTTTAATGCTGGCTTCCTTGGCTTCATATTATCAGCGAGGTCAATGAAGTTGATGCCCCACGCAAAATGATTAAAAAATTGTTTCCTCATACTTCATTAATTGCATTATAAAGCACATTTACCCCGGAATCAATCAGTTCAAAATCAAATTAACTAAATAAGATATCAATTTATTTCCTGTCAATAAAAATGATTTTTGTTAAGATAATAGTTTCAAAATATAAAAGCACTTCTTTAAAAAATATAACGACGTAGTTAATATTTCTTTTCAAATTAATTTTATTCATTGTGGAAAAAATCAACAGCAATCAGCGCTGTCGAACAGTGATAAATTTGAAAACCTGTTCGGTTTCTTTTGTCCGACTGGCCGTTGAGAGGCCGTGTCAGAGGCAGAGGCGTGAAAAATAATAGGCACTGTGTCAATCGCTGAAAGCAGCCCCGTCTGTTTGCCTAGTATGCCCCCGTTTAACAAATAGTTCCGAAAATTGAAAAGCAACTTGAATTAAAGGAATACTCCGTGAATTTACAGCCGTGGTTAATATCAGCATAATCTGAAATTTGTGTTACAAATGTATTTTTGAAGAAAGAACGACTTTGATGGAAGTTGTGCGTGGGGATTCCCCCGTCGGCAGAAATCAGGTCAGGATTCCTGCGCGATTTGTATAGTCTATGTTTGGGTCAGGGGTAAAGAGCGCCGAGAAGCATGCCTCACACACGCTCACTTTTAAGTGGCTCACCAGGATTAACTTGCACATTGCAGTAAACCGTGGAGGTAGCAACATCTCTGGCTGCTAACTATGGACCCACTGGAAAGTAAGTCCCCGGGTAGGGGGAAGTTTTTATGGTTAGCCGTAGTTTTTGTTTTGGCGTGTATGTTTTGTATGGGCCATGGGCAGTTGACTTCTGCTGGGAGGATTTTACGAGTGAATCGTGGGATCCAAGTACCCTTTGGTCGCTCTGTGTATTTAGACCCAGAGAGGGACTTGAAAATAGACCAGCAGCCAGGGGATCGGTGCATTGTGTCGGTTTTGGAGACGGACGTGCTAGCGCAGCGACCAGGTATGCTCATGCCGCACGCTTTCCCGTGTAGATTTCGCCCTGGCGAAGTTGAGTACACGCACTTCGGTTCGCGTAACCCGCTGTTTGACAGGGTGCGCTTGCAGATCAGATACGACTCACAAACTGAAACTATTATCATACCATTTACAATTGAGGTCGAAGTGCTTTCCGTGCAACTGGAAATCGTCACTAGAAATATGCCTATAACTGTTGACCGTCTATTGGGGTACAGCACACCCATTAATAACAAGGCACTGCAGTTTACTTACGACCGCGGCTCTGAATCATGCAAAGTAAGCGTACTTAGCGCAGCTAGTGGTTTGCCTAGGTACGGGGAAATGGCCAATACATCAGCTGCAATGACTATGATTGACTGTGAAGCTTTCTTGGAGTCTGGTATAAGATATAAGCACACCTCTCCATTGGACTCCCCCAACAGAGACTATATCCCCATGGTTGTAGAACTCATGTCCTCTGAGGGGACCGTGAAAAAACAAGAATATTTCCAAGTCATGGTCAGAATTAAAGAAGGCCTAGAAAATACCCCTCCTTCCCCAAGTTATGATGCCATATTGGTATTAGAAGTGGATCAGTTTGTTATGACTGCAATAACGCCAGACATTTTAGCCGCAATTGACCAGGAGACCCCTGCAGGTCAGCTGATTTTCAATATTACCAGGCCTTTAACTTTTGATGAGGGTGTTATTGTGAGTACTGATGATAGAAATCTGCCAGTGAAATCCTTTTATCAAAGTGATGTTCAGGACTTAAAGATTGCCTACAAGCCTCCAAGTATTGATTCAGCAGTTCGTCGCATTTTTCAAGTTGAGTTTCAAGTGGTTGATGCAGAGGGCTTAACATCAGACCCTTTCACTTTGATGATTATTGTAAAACCTATGAATACTTTGGCTCCAGTGGTCACAAGAAACACAGGTATACAGCTGTTTGAGGGACAATCTCGCCCTTTACTGAGTGCTCAGAATTTAGAAATTTCAGACGAAGATAATCTTGATGATGTACGTATTCAGGTGATTGATGGACTTCGACATGGGGAACTCCACATGAATGGCATCAAGCGAAAATTCTTCTCGCCTGCTGATCTAGATGCAGGTATGGTTGTGTATCAACATGATGGAAGCGATACTTACAGCGATAATATAATTTTTCGCATGACCGATGGCGAACATGAAGTGGAATTCTTGTTCCCTGTGACTGTTTACCCAGAAGATGATGAACCGCCAATAATTAATGTAAATACGGGTCTCCAGATACAAAAGAATGATGTGGTTAGTATTTCACCTTTTGTTCTTAGTGCCACAGACATTGACAGTGATGATGCCAGTATTAAATTCACTCTGTTGGAACCTCATTCCACAGAAGGAATGGTAATGATGAGACAGATAGAGCCACCATCAGATCCAGACAACTGGAGATTCGTCAATGGCCACTACGAACGTCCAGTCACCATGTGGACTCAGCAAGACATTGTGGAGGGAAAACTGTTCTATCATCATGTTGGGCCACATAATACAGAGGTGGTCATGGACAGACTTAAGTTTACTGTCCAGGATAATCATACTCCACCTAACGTGTCTCCCATCCAAGATTTTGTGGTCAAGATAATGCCTGTAGATGACCAACCACCATATTTATGTCCTAGGACCCCCTTGCTTATGACCGTGAATGAATTTCAGCTGACACATTTTCGTAAAAAAGTTATGTGCTACACTGATCTGGATTCCATTGATAGAGAACTTCAGTATACAATTACAGCACCGCCATATGACACTGATACTAACAATCCTTTGCCAGCAGGAAGCATTGTTTTGTTTGAATATCCTGAGATAATAATAAGTGAATTTACCCAAGCACAGGTGAATCATCGTAAAGTTGGTTATCAACCTCCAAGTACTGAGCTGGGAATCACGCCGAGACTCATCCAATTTGAATTTGATGTGAAAGATACAGCTGGAAATGTCCTGCCACAACAGAAGTTCACCATAAAGCTCCAGCCCGTTGATAACAAGCCTCCTGTTATTACAAATCCCGGATTCTCAGTGTTTGAAAACAACTACTTACAGATTACTCCACAAAATTTAGATGCTGTAGACCCAGATACGGATGGCAATATGATAAATTTCACTGTCGTAGAGATTCCTGTACATGGTCAGCTGACTTACCTGGGCAACCCAATGGCTGAGGGTGAGGTTTTCAAAAGGGGTGACATTTCTTCTGGACGGATTGCCTACCTCAACCAAGGGCAGGTGGGAGAAATGGACAGCGACAAATTCAAATTGGATGTCACGGATGGCATCCACCATATCCCAGTGGTTGTCAAGGTGGCAGTGCGAGGTGTTGATGACGAGATGCCATCTTTAGCTTTGACCGATGAGGCTAGCTCTGGAAATCTGGGGTTCCGCATTGAGGTGAAAGAAGGGCAGTCAGCACCTATCACTTCAAATATGATCAAAGCTACTGACACTGATACTGACGACTTGATGCTGACTTTCTTGGTTGAAAGCGCTCCACGTAAGGGGGTGATCTTACTAGGAAACCAGGTTACTGACAAGTTCACACAGAGCGACATCATCAATAATAATGTTGTCTATATGCACACCAGTGGAGAAATCGGCCCTGAAGAAACCAAAGATCACTTCACTCTCACATTGTCTGATATGTCTGATGATTTACTCATTGGTGGAAATCGGATTCAAGGGATCAAAGTTAATGTGACCATACTTCCCGTTGACAACAATACCCCTGTGGTGGTGGTAGGGGGTCCACTTGTTGTGCCAGAAGGGAACAAGAGTGCCATCACATTGTCTCATATCAGTGCATCTGACGTAGATAGCGAGGTAGATGACATTCAGTGCACCATTATTGTCCAACCAACACAAGGTTACTTGGAAAATAGTGCACCAGGTGATGGCTCGGAAAAGTCACGGGCAGGTATGCCAATCAGTACCTTTACAATGAAAGATATCCGTTTAATGAATATCAACTACGTTCAAAGTATTCATCAGGGTGTGGAGTCAACGGAAGACCGTTTCACGTTTAGATGTTCAGATGGTGTCAACTTCTCTCCAAACTTCTTCCTTGATGTTGTCATCATACCAGATAACGATGAAGTGCCAGAGCTCTACATGAGAGAATTTGTGGTTCTTGAAGGAAATTCCCTTGTTATTGACACACCTATTCTTAATGCCATCGACAAAGATATTCCAGAACAGGAACTTATATTTCATATCCTAGAGGCTCCTGGCCATGGCAAGATCCTCCAGCAAAGGCCAACAGGATCAGTACAAGTGGACAGGTTTTCTGTCTCGGACATTTCTGATGGCTCCACCATTGTGTATGAACATGATGACTCTGAAACCACTGAGGACAAGTTCAAAGTTAAGTTGACAGATGGAAAGCATGAAGTTGAAAAAGAAATCTTGATCATGGTTATCCCAGTTGATGATGAAACTCCAAGGCTGACCATCAATAATGGATTGGAGGTTGATATTGGTGAAACCAAAGTAATCAATGACCAGGTACTCAAAGCAGAGGACTTGGATTCTGACGATTTGAACATCCAGTTCATTGTACGCAAGCAGCCTATCCATGGCTACTTGCAGAGAGTTGTTAATGGTGTCAGCTCAAATATTACCCGAGGGATGAACTTCTCTCAGTGGGAGATTGATGATGGAAGTAGGATCCAGTATGTTCACACAGGAGCAGAAGGTGTCCGAGACCTGATCAAGTTTGATGTCACTGATGGCTTCAATCCCCTAATCGATAGATATTTCTATGTTTCGGTAGAAGGCATAGACATGACATACCCAGAAGTCATCAACAAAGGCGTAGAATTACCTGAGGGTGGGTCTGTCATTTTGACAACTGACCTTTTGAGTACGTATGACTTAAATAGCCCTGATGAAAACCTCCAGTTTACTATCACACGGGCTCCTAGTAGGGGCCATCTTGAAAGCACAGACCAACCAGGGGTCCCGATTACAACTTTTACCCAGCTACAGCTTGCAGGAAACAAAATTCGCTATGTGCACATGAGTGAGGATGAAATGAAAATGGATAGTTTTGAATTTGAGGTGACAGATGGTTATAACCCAGTTGTTCGTACTTTCCGGGTCTCTCTAAGTGATATTGACAATAAGAAGCCTGTCCTGATGCTTGAACCACTACGAGTGAAAGAAGGAGGCACAAAACTTATCACACCATTTGAACTGAAGGCAGTGGATCGTGACACTGATGACACAAAAATACGATTCACTGTGACTCAGATCCCAATTCATGGTACCATTAGGTACAACAATACTCGCTCTGTGACCACATTTACCATGGAGGACTTGAATGAAAACTTAATCACATATGCCCACGATGGCACCGAAACTCTTGAAGACAGTTTTGCATTGGTTGTCACAGATGGCACTCATACAGACTTTTTCGTCTTTCCTGACACGACCACCACCACCCGAAGACCACAAGAAGTTTTGGTGGAAATTATTCCTGTTGACAATGGCGTCCCCCAGATTGCAGTCAATCGAGGTGGCGCGTCACTAGACCAACTTGGAGATGGAAGGCTTGGTTTCAGGTTCACTAACAAGGTCTTGAAGGCAGAAGATCGTGACAGTACAGGGGATGTCCTGAAGTATAAGATCATCACCCCTCCAGAACATGGCTACATCATCAATAGGGCACATGGGAACAAAAGTGTTGGGAACTGGTCACAAGGTAAGTTATTTTGTATTTATTTATTTATTTTCTGATGGCATGTGCTCACAAGATTTGTTGAAAATGGACATTTCTGCCTCAACAGAATAATGGGAAAATGGGTGTTTATATGCTTAACAATAATCAATGCTGAAAGGTGATTTTTCAGATGTAGGAAGTTTGATCTAAAATGTTTTACCTGGCTCAACTTCAACATGGCTCCATTTAATTTAAATCAGTATGATTTGTTTTGATAAAAATATGTTATTATAGCTTCAGTCCCAAAGTTGTGTTGTTGTTTTAATATATATTTACACATTTCAAGAATTAATTCCTGATGAAGCTTACTGACGATACAAAGTGTATATTTTCTTTAAACTGGAATGAGAGATTTTTCCTCAAAGATCATCCTTTCAGAGTTGCCCAGTCTGCAATAACATATACGTTGAACAATTTACTAGTAGTACTGTCTTTGATATTTGAAGAAAGTAACGTTCATATGTGGGTTGTTTTGATGTATTAGATGTAACATACACATACACCAAGACAGTTTCTGATTTTACATGACACTAGTGCTGTTCAGACAGGACTGTTTAGACAGGACTATTTTAGACTGAATATTTCCATAACACACGCACATATAGACAGACCCCAACAAAATCTGGTATTGCTTTAACTTTGTGAATATAAACCATGTGCTAAACACATTTTTATTTGAACAAAGAAACTGGAATTTGTTTCTTATGATTTTTGCCAAGTTCACCAATGATTTAGTTCAAAATTTTGATATAGCTGAAATAATCCATCAATTTTGCTTTAAGAACTTTTATCTGTGAATGAGCTGAGCCTGTGATGATGCAAGTGAGAATGATTTCCGTTTAAAAAAAAAGCCAAGTCTCAACCCAGTCATTCTTGTTGTAGAATCAAGTCATGGTTGTTTTCAAATGTCAAATCAGCTTGTCATCTCTGGTATCAATAGCTGTGTGTGTTTTAGCAACAGCAGACTCTTGGTGTTAGCCAGTAAAAAAATGTGATAGCATACACAGACATGCAAATGGCAATGAGAGTATACGGAGTCAGGTTCGAAGCTAACGGGAACCTTTCCTTTCTTTGTAAATCAAAACCTACGTCTTGATCATTCTGGCTGATTGTACAATCTGTATATAATTCTTGGCAGAAAAGTAATCATTTGTCACGTCTGGCATTCTGAAGTAATAATCCCCCTTTTTTTATCCTTGTTTGTAAACCTCCTTTTTTCCAATTAGACCCTTTTATAATAAAACAAGCTTCCCAATGATACTTTATGCTCAGCATCACTTCCTTGCCTCCCATATAACTGGCTGATGTAATTGACTTAGACGACAAAATATAAGGTGTAGATTTACGGGAGGTAGCTTTTATATGATACATCGGCTAATGTTCCACCACAAGTGACAGAAGTGATTGTGAAAGTATGAAAATCAGCTTATTATGTCTCAGGGAATTCTGAAGAAAATACTTGCTTAAAATGTGAGATATATTATATATTAACTGTAAAACTTAAAGGACCATTGTTTTAATAACTTGCAGAGATATCAGTTAGATGCTGATGGTATTACTAATAATCATACAATAAAGAAAATGACATTATAGGAGATGTGCTCAGAATTTTAATCCCCATACACCCTTGCACAGTGTGTGGACTGTCTTTTCCTATTTATATACCTTCCTTTTATGTGGTTTGTTTACAAATATGCAAAACCCCGGATGTCCTGAAAAGGCTGCTATAGTTATTATGTAACAGGTAAATATAATTGTATTGAACTTCACACACCCTTGGAAACATTAATAGAGCTTCTATGTCATAAATGCTCCATTTGACTACTGAATCCTTCCCGCGACATAATTATTATTCAATTTAGCAGAGGGATAATTAAATAACTTTGGATAAACATAAACCACTTAGCACATGATTGAATAATAATGCCCCTCCCAGCATTCAACATCAATTTGAAAGCTTTCTTTCTTTCATTAAAGCAATTATATAAATTATACAATGACCTTCCTAAGGCAAATGCATCTGATGGCTTTGTTTGAAATTAATTTGATTTGGTATGAAGGAGTAAAGGTATTGATACATGAAACAATAACAAAACGTGAATAAGTGAGTGGGTGGGTGAAGGGATATTTTGATTTGAATTGTACCATAATGTTTTCTTGCTTGGCCCAATTGATACATTAATTTAATCCGAATGCTCCGACTTGGGGCTCCACTTTGCCAAATTTAATAAGTAGCAGAGTATGCTTCCCACTGAGGAGATGACAGGCCATCAGATCAGCACAGGTGTGAGGTGCTTGATGAGGTGATTTATTAGGAGACTGATAGAGTGAGAAATTGTTGGAATAAAAAACAACAGTGTAAACAAGTTCAAAGACATCAGTGTGATATGCATGATGGGTAGTAGTAATAGAGGTCGTGGTGACTGGTCTGGCACAGAATATGTCATGTCGTGACCTCTTCAGACAGGACAGTTTTTTTATTATGTACAGACACAGATGTGTCTGTACATATTGCCATCACCTGCGTCTGTCGTCGCCGTTGCCGATCATGTCGCCGTCGCCGTCGCCGTGCACTTTCAGCATTAACACCATAAGTGGAAGACAGTTTTACTTTTTGGCTTTATATTTACAGCGCTGACTAATATTCATAAAACGCAGGTCAAGTTCGAAAATCAGCATGATCGGGCCATTATTGTAGAATTTATGCTGTTTTTTCACTTTTTAGCATATATGCAACACTGTTAACACATTTCAAGGAAAACCGATAGGCCTGTTGTCATGAAACTCACAGGAAAAATCGATCTTACTAAAACGCAGGTCAAGTTCGAAAATCAGCATGATCGGGCCACTATTTTAGTAGTTATGCTGTTTTTTCACTTTTCAGCATATATGCAACACTGTTAACACATTTCAAGGAAAACCGATAGGCCTGTTGTCATGAAACTCACAGGAGTGGTCAATTTTACTAAAATGCAGGTTGAGTTTGTAAATCAGCATAATCGTGCCATTATTTTAGAAGGTATGCTGTTTTTTCACATTTCCTCAGATTCAATTTTTAGGCATGTTAACAGTCTCATTATTAAACTAATAAGATACGTGAAAGTGTTTGTTTGACATTTCCTGCATCTTTACAACATTGTTAGTTGATTTTGTAAAAATGATGGTAAACATGTTATCGTGTTTTGTGTAATAAAGTTTCAAAAATGGAAATAAACTCATATCATTGCAATTTGTCAGATTCAATCATTCACTATGTTCAGAATCTCAGAATGGAAGAAATTGGACATTTAACACTGCTCTATTGATACTTTTCTCATCTCATCAATTTTCTTAGTTGATCATATAAAAATGGCAGTAAACTGTTAATTTTATGTTAAAAATTGTTAAAAATGGGGAAAAAAACATTTCAGAACAGTGCTGTCTTGTTTACATTTTGGCATTTTCAAGTTGTGACTTTGAAGTTCCATGGGCCTGAAGACCTTTGCTAGTCACATTTTCTGAATATCCATGATACTAATATTTTATTATTAAAAATTGATGGTCATTATGCTGTTAAACATTATGTAATATTGCATCAAAATTTGAAAAAAACCTATTTTGGGCACTGCTCCCATGATTACCTTTTAAGAAAAACCATGTCACTTACTGTTCTCAAACTTACAGGAAAGAAACATGGGACTAAAATACAGCTTCAGTAGGCAATGCAATATGCCAGATAAACAGTTTTTTTGTGAAAATTTAATTTTTCACATATTGGCATTTTCAAGGTGTGACTTTGAAGTTCCACAGGCTTGAAGACCCAGGCTAGTCACATTTTCTGAAAATCCATGATACATATATTTTGTTATTAAAAATTGATTGTCATTATGCTGTTAACCATTATGTAATACTGCATCAGAATAGAAGAAAACACAATTTTGGGTGCTGCTGCCATGATGACCATTATGGGAAAACCATGTTACTTATGATTGCCAAACTTTCAAAAAAGAAATACAGGACTAAAATGCAGCCTGAGTTGGAAAAGCAGTCTAATTGACTTCTTTTTCTGGAAGTTTTACATTTTCAAAGTGTGAACTTGAACTCCCATGGGCCTGAAGCCTTATGCTTGTTTCACATTTTACTTACATTGGTATTACCTGTTGAGCATAATTAAAATTTGATGTTGAATTTGCAGTTTAACATAATGTACTTTTGCATCAGAATTGACAGTAGCCTATTTTGTTATTTCCTGCTTTTTGTCTGTACATTTGACAGCTTTGCTGCCTTGTTTTTTTTTATTCTGCTTGGCTTTAAAATAAAAAAAGGGTTATGATCGAGTTGGTTTTATCTGAACAAAGACAAAACAACCCTTGAAATGTACAGTAGATTACACTATTTGGATAATTTTTGAAATAATCTGGAGTCATGCTACTATTTTCTTTATCAGATGAACAGATTTTCCACCTGATTCTGTTGAGTAATAAGCTAGAAATGAGTATAAAAAAATGATATTATAATAAAAACTGATATCTCAGAAAGACATTTCTGTCAGTGCAGCAAGTAGCTGCCTGGGTGTTTGACCTTCTGTTGACCACGACTAGCAGCAGCTGATGGATTTTCCTCACCTGTGGCATGTTTCATTGTTCCACAATGTTTTTCCCCTTGAAATTCGTCTTAACTGTTAGTCCAAAAATTTAGCTGACATAAATGCAGGATGAATTCACAGTAGCCCAAATAAGGATATAGTAACTGTAGGCTTAACACATTAGCCACATACTTCTTGTTATGAAACAGGTTCAATAATTAATTTTATTAGACTACTACTGATTTATTACTTGGTCTATTTTTTTTTTTTTTTTTTTTATGTGCGAAATCAAAATACTCAGAGAAAAGTGCTATTTTTACTTCTTGGACATGACACAAAATGAAAAAGAGTGTTACAGCAAACGAGTATCATGTGTGTTTTTGTGTTTGTGCATTTTTGTGTTTCAGTTCTGAATTCA